TTACCTCTCCTTCCAAGAAGACAGCATTACTTGTCGTGCTGTAGGTAAGTCTCTCGCACTGCACACACTGCTGATAGTGTAGGCTAGACAGGACTGTCCCCAAGACAATGATTCTTTTCTACTCAAGAAAATCTGTACAGTAAATAACTTTTCTTTCCTTTGAGACAAGCACAGTGCTTGAGGCTGCTGCAACACAACGACAAAATATCTTCACAAATGTCTCCAAACAGTCAAGCTGAAAATCTAAGCCAAAGTTTCATTTAACAGCCTGTCAGTTTTTTGATGTGAAGCTAATGAATGCAGTGGCAAACAAATCCATCAAACCTAACATCAAAACAACTGCACTTCATCCCACCAAACGGAAAAATGAAATACAACCTGCAGGCCAGCTCTTTGATCCAGCCCAGGCAGGAAGCAGCCCAATGTGCCACCACGTAATCATGGACACCATCTCAGCACAGAAGAAAAGAATACTCCACAAAGGGGGAAAAAACATCCACCTCGACTATGCACCGATAGCTCGTTTCAATTGTTAAGCTATATTATATATTTTTAAATCTCTACCAGAAAAAAATATATATAGCATTTCACTCTAGATTATGAAATGCCTAAAGTAAGTGACAGGATAGCATGTTACAAATGGAGGTTTGTAAAAGCCCTCTGCTCCTTATGAAGTCTCCTTGAAGACAAAGAGGACGCATCTTTCTCCTTCGTACATATGCACGCAGCTCAGTTCCTGGGCAGAGGGGGGACTTGCAGAGCACTCTCCGAGCCCGGCTCCGCCTGAGCCAGTAGGCAAATGGGCATGTGGCTATCCTGAACATCCCCCTCAAAGTTTTCAGTGAAAATCTTACCTCTGATTAAAGAAATGGGGAAAATTACATTGTGGCCTTGTTAAATAAGTCTGTCCCCTTGAGACAGAACTTCTGATCTGCAGTATCATGCAGGATTTGCTATGCTGTATTTTGCAGGTCAAGAAAAGAGGGCTGAATGATCCTCAGTAAGGAGAGAAAGAAAGAGGAACAATAAGGGCCTGGGGCATTAGCAGAAATTTTTAGAAACAAGGATAGTCAAATTATGTTGGTTTCAAGGCTATGAGGTCAATGTCTCCTCTGCCCATCTCTGCCTGTTTTCTGAGAGTCTTCTCCACCACCACAGCATAAAACAGCCTTCTGTGAGACAAGGCAGCTTAGGTAGATGTGAACACACCAAAGGGCAGTGAAATAGTCACATAATTATTGTGTTGTTGTTGTTGTTGTTTAGTTGAGAATATAAAACATCCAGGAATTTGCTAAAATTTGGAAAACAGCTTTTTGGGCTTAGCACAAATAACAGAATGGAAGTTCCAGTCAATGTTAGCCATTTCTTGAACAAATATCACATACTAATAGGGCAGTAATAGAGTCAGCAGAAATCCCCTCTCCCCTCCTACTCCAGAGAAGCTACAAGATGCCAAGCAGCCAATGACAAAGGAGCGGTCCTTGATCCCTTGCCAGAACCACCTCTACTTTCACTTTGCTCTCATCAAATAGGTTATCCTCCAAGTGATGAATTCACAGAAACATGCATGGTGCCCACACACAGCAGATAAGCACTCTCAGAATAAAGAGCTTCATTCAATAGCAGCCGCCTGAATGGGCTGAAAAGGTCCTGTTAACCAAGTCTGCAGGCCCTTGTACAGAGGCCATCAATATATCAGTGAACCTGGGGATTATCTTTTCAAAACCTAGTGGTTTTTTTAAATAAAAATTAGTCTTTTGTAACAGTTCTTTTCCAAGTCATGAAATCAGAGATGTGGGTTTGTAATATATGAAATATAATCAGTGGAGACCCCACATTAATTAATGTTTGCTGCACCACAAACAGATACTATACGAGATGCTTTTACATACTCAAACCGAATACGTGACAGGTGAAGCAGATGTCATCCCTCAGTGCTTAAACCATGAAAAAGTATGTCATTGCTTTTCAAATTATCCCTCCCAAATGCACAACTCACCATCACTTATGACATAGCTGTTTTAATAGTTATCATTTAGGATAAAGTGATACATTTGTCCCCAGCAAACACAAAAACTAATACCAAGTCACTAATTTTCAAGGATTAAAAACTACGTGTGTCTACACATATGTATACACACACACACAGTAATTTTATAAGGTTGCCTAAAGAAACAGACCTGGAAATCAATAAAAATATATATCAAATAGCCAAAGCCAGTTTGGCTCAGTGGTAGAGCATCGGTCTGCGGACTGGAAGGTCCCAGGTTCGATTCTGGTCAAGGGCATGTACATTGGTTGTGGGCACATCCCCAGTAGGGAATGTGCAGGAGGCAGCTGGTCGATGTTTCTCTCTCATCGACATTTCTAGCTCTCTATCTCTCTCCCTTCCTCTATGTAAAAAATCAATAAAATATATATTTTTAAAAAACTGGAATCAGGATCTTTAATATAAGTATTCAATAACAAGGAAAGGAAATAAGCACATAAAAAATTTAAATATATATCTCAAATAAATTATAAAAGACACCAAAATCTGCACAAAACACTCCATCACAGCACACTATAATGGAAAAGAACTCATTAACTGAGAACAGTCAAGAAAATATTAACATTGGGGAATATAATTTAAGAAAGTGTAATGATGTTTCAGTGAACTTTTTTAAATTGTATCCATTTCAAGTTTAGTTTCTGGTTTTAATCAAAATAACTAAAACTACATGATATAAAGTAGGTTCTTAGTATATCACCATATCAGTTATTCATTGGAACTCTCCGTGGTAGGCAGAATGTCTAGATACCCGTGTCCGAAACCCTGAAATCTATAACTATCATTTTACATGACAAAAGGGACTTTGTAGATTGCTTGCTCTGAAATGTAGAGAACCCCAGGCAAGAAGCTGAGAGCAGCAAAGGCCCAGCCGACAGACAAGAAGGAAAGGGGAACTCAGTCCCACAACTGCAAGGAGCTGAATTCCGCCAACAACCTGACAGCAAGGAAGTAGGTTCTTCACCATCCTCCAGTAAGGAGCCCAGACCCACAGGCACCTTGACTTTTCACTTGAAAAGTTCCTACTGAACTCTTAAAAGCACGTGCTACAGCAGCAATAGAAAAAGACTACATTCTCTGAGTAGCACCACCTCACCAAAAATAAGGAACAAGTGAGACAACTAAAAACATATACAATTACAATTTAAAATTGACTGCCCAAACTACATTATAACCATAGAATACTACCTACCTAGTAAAATACCCAGAACCAAGACAGTCATATCTTTGACTAAATTGAAAGCTATAAATCAACACAGCATGAGTTCATATGAACATACCTGAGGTTTTTTCCCCCCTCACAACAAATCTATGGGATAGAGAGGTATTTCTACTTTACAGAGGAAGAAACAAAAAGAATAAATAATTTTCCTTATGTTACATGGCTAGGTAGAAGAAGAAAAGTTGGGCCTCAGATCCCCGCCTCCTCCACCATAGTCCACTGTTTCTTAACCACACAATTCTAGGTTTCAAAAGCTGAGATTTCAGAAAGGGTCACTATTGACCTCTCTGACTTGGTCACACTCCACTCCACATCCACAAGTAAATGTTGACACATTCCAGGCTTAGGGAGAAGCTACTTTGGTCAATACCTTGAACTAGATCTGAAACACAGTAAACAAACACCAACTAATTTTTTCTGGAGACTCTGAACAGCTGTGATAGCTGAGTTACTACCGCAATGATTAAAGATGCAAACTATAAAATAGCAAACCTTGTTCTAACCTCGAGGCTATGACACTGTTTCAATGCAGATACCAGCGTTACATTTATGCAAAATAACGCTGCAGTAGCTAGCCAAGGTACTTACACACTGAGTTTTCTATTTTTTTTTATTAGGTTTATTGTAATAGGCAGGATGGGTAATGGGAAGAAATAGTTCAGTTCTGTTCCTTTCTAAATTACCCCTCATAAATAGAAATTACTCAGAAGAGAAAAAGTCTTCTAATAGCAGGAGATTTCTTTTATGTCATGAATTCATTCGAATGCTTCCTGAGCTGCCAAAGGGCTATACTTTTATTTAAATATATTATGCAATTTTCTAAATACACATATAAATTAAACCTGGAGTTATCTGTCCTGAATACTAGTATATTTGCATCCAAGTTTTATCAGTGCAGAATGAATAATACTCACTTGTGCCATGCAGTGGCCAAGGTAAGGACATGTAAGCTGTGTGTATCACTTTCCACTAAATATATGTCAATTTTGCATACTCTATAAAACACATAGTTTCATTAACAAGCTGCCCTCTGCCAGCCTGCACCTTTGCTTTAAAAGCCAAGGAAAGACAGCAACCTAATAATAGAAGCCACCATCACTTTGAAGCTGTCCTCTATTTCATGCCGAGGGAAATTAATTAAATTTTATAGAAGTTGTTGCTTATGAATGAAAATACACAGTATGTAAAACTAAATTAAATATGCTAGGCGGAAGATGCAAAATTTTATCCCAAATTTAGCATGAAGATATATTTCTTATTCTACATTATTACTTTTAAGAATTTATTTCTGTACTAAGGTAAGTTTTAATCATTCCTTCTTATCATTCTTCCTCAACTTGTTATCATTTACCAGATACTTTTCTTCCGTAAATAGTTGTTTTTTAAGGCATGGACTGAATTCTAGCATGGAATTCAGTCACAAAGCCACACAAGGAGCCACTGGAAAATCTCACACACACAAAAAAAAATACAATTGGAGGCCTTAAGAGAGAAGCAAATATCAGTTGCATAAAATTACCTCTCAAGGAAAATTATTTCACATTAATTTCAAAAGAGATAAGTATAGCTACAAATGGTAATACAGACTGTGTTAAATAAATATATTTCGTATGAAATAAATTACCATGGTAAGAGGTCAAACACAAATGCTACAAGTAATGTTAACTTTCTCACTATACTAACCAGAATACACATTTAATTTATGCTTTTTTCTGAGGCATAACTTACCAATTTAGCAACTTTCCCATAGTCAATCCATCTGACAGTAGCAAAATTTGTAGATTCTGCACAGTTGAAACCATGATTAAAACCAGCATGGTAGCCATATGGGAATGTGATCATAAATTCTCCAGCCTCCTGGGTGATCTGCAGGGTAGAAAACATATAATATTTTCCAATTGTAAGACTTGCCAAATTGTGAATACAAGTAAAATATATTTCCTAGGGAAAAAATGCCATGACATCAGAGCTATACCAGTATAAAAGAAGTATCCCCAAACCCTTTACTTAATCTTTAATAGTTCAGAAAACTTTTCAAAGGCTTTTCTAAACAGGGTTTAGTTCAATCATTCAATCCACAAAGATATATTTTATATGAAAACATCTCTGTTATTCTAATAAATTTGTTCATATAATCAAGCAATGTCTATATTTTATTATTTATACACTAGAGGCCCAGTGCATGAGATTCAGGTCCCCTCAGACCGGCCTGCACCCTCTCCAATCCAGGACCCCTCGGGAAATGTCCAACTGCTGGTTTAGGCCCGATCTAGGGGACCTCAGGGATCAAGACTAAACCAGCAGTCAGACATCCCTCTCACAATCCAAGACTGCTAGCTCCTAACTGCTCATCTGCCTGCCAACTTGATCACCCCAACCACCTCTGCCTGATGGCCTGATCACCCCTAACTGCCCCACCTGCCAGCCTGGTTGCCCCACAAAGCCTGCTGTTCAGTCATTTGGTCATCCCTCACTAACCCTCCTGTTGGTCTGGTCGCCCCATGCAGCCTGCTGTTCAGTTGTTACTGTGAGGGCATCCTGACTAATTTGCATATTACCCTTTTATTAGTATAGATATGTCTACACTAGAGCCCCGGTGCACAAAATCCGTGCATGGGTATGGTCCCTAGGCCTGGCTTGCAATCAGGGCCATCTTCCCCCAGCTTCCCACAGCTAGCCCCACCACCCACTGCCACCCACCCACCCCATTCACCATTCACCATCGAGTGATCAGAGCCTACTAGCCGGAGGGAGGAACTGAGAAGTTGGCCATTCCACTCACTTGCTGGTCTCTCCCCCGCTGTTGGTTGCCCTCTGTGCATGGGGTGACTGGTGGGGCAGGGGTTTTGGCTTGGCACCACCCACGTCCCCCACCACCCACCCCCAGTTCCCTGTTCAGAACCTGCCAGCCTTGGAAAAGAACCAAGAGATGGTCAGTGCACCTCACAGTGACTGGTCGAGCAGTTATTCTGATCATTCCACCATTAGGGTCAATTTGCATATTACCCTTTTACTATATAGGATACTTTCTTTTTATTTCAGAAAGGAAGAAAGAAGGACGGGAGAGATAGAAACATCAATGATGAGAGAGAAACATTGATCGGCTGCCCTCCTGCACACCCCCTACTAGGGATTGAGCCCACCACCTGGTTATGTGCCCTTGACCAGAATCAAACTGGGGACCCTTCAGTCCACAGGCCAACACTCTATCCACTGAGCCAAACCAGCTAGGGTATATTGTTTTTTTAAAATTTTGCATCATTGCAGTTATATTAGGACATATCATAACTGACATTTTTCAAGTTAGAGCTGCAAAATCTTTGATAGTGGGTGTTGAACAGGCTTCATTATGAATTCCTATTGCTAAAGAGTTGGTGGTATTCACCAAATTACTAGCATTCTTTTATAATACTTAGAAAACATTCAATTAACCGTATTTCACTTAATAGTAAAATTTCTATTAAATAATTATTCAATAAGTGTATATATGTAAGCATGTGTTAGGAATGCATTTTTAAGTATAATTAAAATACATAAATCAATGAGGAGCTAAAAAAGCAAAGATGAAAGCAAAGATGAAAAATGCATTTATTTTTATTTTGAAATTTTTTAAATCATTTTCATAATCACCAAAGCACACAAAATGCACCATGACCTATAGAAAAATATTAAAGATAAATTTTTCAGAGTTTTGGGGTGTGTGTGTGTGTGTGTGTGTGTTGTTAATTCTCACCCAAGGATATTTTTCAGTTAATTTTTAGAGAGAGTGGAAGGGAGGGAGAGAGAGAGAGAGAGAAGCATTGATGCGAGAGAGACACATTGACTAGTTGCCTCCTGCTAGCACCCCAGGGCCGGGAATCAAGCCTGCAATCAAGGCACATGTCCTTGACCAGAATCAAACCCACAATATCTTTAGTCCATGGGCCGAAGCTCTATTCATTGAGCCAAACTGGATAGGGTCGGGGTTCTTTGTTGGTTTTTTTAATTAAATTATAATATATTATCAAGTTTATTGCTCTCTAGTTCATTCAGTCACCATGGTTCATTTCAGTTCTTAAGGTTGAGAAATGAATATATGGGTATGTACATGTGTATAAATATACAAGAGACACATTGTATAAATAAAGGTTCTCACGCTACAATTTACTTGCCAGTTTAGGAATGCTAAAATGTTGTGTGGGGGGGATTTTCTTTCCCAACAGTTCTGAGATTTAGTTCATCATTCCCTTCCCCCATGATACCCCAGCAGGTGTCCTATTGCAATGAGCAGAAACTCAGCTGGCACCTGGCAGAGAGAGAGTGAATGGCTTATCAGAGTTCAGCATGGCTCCAGTCCCAGCATTCTGAGCCACGTATGAACAAAGCCTGATTCTCTCCTTTCCTGATCTCACTGAATCTCATTAATTATAATTGTGCTTGGAAGCTAGGCACATCCTTGTAACCATGTGATATGTCTCTAACCCTATAAAGATGCCTCTGTACAATTTCTAGAAAAATGTCAGTCACAGCAAACATATAAGGCCAATTTACTGCCTCTATGTAATAAACTGGTAATAATTTTTTAAACATAAAGGGAGAAAAAATGAGTCCCTTTTATTATACGATTAAACAATCATTGTAATTCCATATCATGGAATATATGGGTAGTACACATAATCTAAAAGTAGACATTAGCTATTTCTTCAATATGCTTTTTCATATATATGTATGAATATGTACAAATACACTGAAAGAAGGAAAAAAATGTTTTACTCCAACTGTAAAATGATGGTCTAAGAAAGAGGGCTGAATTGAAGAGGAAGAGTGCCTTACTATGTAACAAAAACTATTCAAAGTCTTCCATACGTAGATCAGCCATTTTCAACCAGTGTGCCACAAGAATTTTTAAAACATGCAACACCTGACTCTTTAGCAGGGGCACTGACCTCTTTTTCTTTAGACTATCAAATGAAAAATTGACAAAGCCAATACAACAGCCATCCAGTGTAAATGAATCAAAATTATAGTGTTGTTGTTAAACATTTTTTGGTGTGCTACAGAATTTTAATAATTAGTTGATGTGTGTCATGAGATTTTTTTTAAAAAAGGTTCAAAAAATAAATAAATAAAAACAAAAAAAGGTTCATAAATGCTGATATAGATTATTCTTTTTTCATCCTCAAAATGGTTCTATTAAGTAGGTACTATTATTATTCCATTTTCATGATGAAGAAAATGAGGCTCAGAAAAATTATGTAATTTACCCAAATGACAGAATCAAGAATGAACTTAGAAACTCTGTCCCATGTTACTATATCATCATCAGAGAATAAATTCCTTGAGGAGCACAGATTCAAGCATCACACCATTCATCAAGGTGAAAGGGAAAGTGAAAGTATTTCATAGGAAAAACAATTGTCAATCAGCCCTCCTGCCATGGGTGTCTCACCATCTGAGGACAACCATCCTGTCACTTCCCGCAGAAGTGAGAAAATGTCCCATCCTCAAAAGACCAGATAAGAAACTGATAAAACTAGTATTTACCAAGTAGTACTTAGGGAGCCAGAGCCTAGAAAGGGGTGCAGGTTGTCTACCTCCTACCCCAAAGATTGGAAAGGACCTTCAAGCTCTAAAGCCCTCCATCCCGGAAAACTAGCCAGTCCCTCAGTCCTGCTACTTTACATAACCCCTCTCCAAAGAACAGGTTGATCAATTCTTATCATCAGCCCTAAACCCAACAGAGATTTTTCTGTCTTGGGGAATTCTAATCCACTCCTGCTCCACCTTCTAATATTCCAACATAAATGAAAGTACCCAACCAAGCTTTTTCCAACCACCTAAATGAAACACTCACTGATGAATGTGTCTGAGAGTGAAAAAGCCATTGCCCAGAGGTGTCTGCAAGTAAGACAACACCCCAAAGTAACAATGGGCCATCTGGGACACAGCCTCAGACCTCTATGACTGCCAACAGTGCTGCTCCCCATCACCAGCCCTCTCCACACCATGGGCATCACCGCAGTGCACATCTCGGAGCCCTGCTTTCTGTCCTGGGTAGAAATATGTCAGTAAGCCAAAGGTGGTGAGAGCATCCTCATCACAGACAAATATGCATCATGATGACTGTCACAGAGACAGTTTGTAGGAAAGTGGGGACACCTCAAGTCACAAAAAGATGCTTGTACTTAAAAAAATTATACTTCAAACAAAGCCAAAGCAGAGCAGGGGGTGGGGGTGGAGGGGATTTTAAGGGCCCGAGATTAAGGAAAAGTGAAGATTTGGTCACAAGTGAAAAGCTTCTAAGGTAGAAAATAGAAAGGATTATGGGAAGAAATTCAAACAGAAAATGAAGATGAGAGTGGAACTATTTTTTAATGTTTCTGCAAGTAGCTAAGGACTTAATCCTCCTCCAACTAAGAGAGAGCTTTTATTTATCTGGTCAAAAGCTATTTTCATGCCAGCTTCTTCACATAAAAATGCTCGTGTTGTGTAATAATTCTGACCCAATAACTACCCATGGACACAAAGAAAGAGAGCTCTAGCATGCAGAGTCTTAGAGAACTTAATCTTTAGAAATACTTCCAAGAAGCAATATCTGATTATTAAATCATCAGGCAATTTTATCCTTAATGAAATCTCAATTGTACTATTTCCAAATGTGTCTAGAAGCAAAATACTGGTACCATAATCATTGATTCTAACCAACCAAACTGCTAATAATAACTGCTCTGAATTATTTTTTACTTTTTTTTTTAAAGAAACAAATTATATTACTCATATAAAAGACTTCAATGTAAAAATGCCACATCTCATTTTATCAAATATGCTACATTTTATTGTCAGTAGTTATAAGTAAACTACAATAGCATGAAGTCTCTAGTAAATGTATCCTGAAATAAAAGTAACTTTAAATTACTATTTAGATAAATAATCATGTTAAAAAAACATGAATCTGAATTTTTCTCCTCACATCCTAAAAATCCTACCTGAAGTCAAAGCTATATTATTTACGTTAAACTTGCCTTAAATACACATACTACACACAAAAATCGAATTTGTTAAAGAGTAATATTAATATACCTTATCAAAGGGAATACCATACTTCTTCAGCACTGAGGGAGATATCAGCGTCATCTTGTGGCGAAGAAATGCATCACATCCTTGAAAACTACTTGGGAAAAAACCTAAATGGAAATAAAATATAAGCATACAGCAATGTATCAATTAAGATAAAATTTCAGATGTTTTTTTGTAAGCTTTGTACTTCTTACAAAATTACAGCTTTATGCAAATATATTAAAAATTAACACATACATACTTATATCACCAAAGGTTGACCTTACAAAAAGATCTACCAAGAGGTGTTTTCATAACATATAAAATTACTAAACCTGAAAACTGCAATTTCTAACATATTTGAATTCAACCTGCCTAATATCTGAATAATGAACAAAATATTAAGGGAGGTTAGCAGAGGTCAATGTGCTTTAATAGCGGAATCTCTCATTTTAGGCTCTTATTAGTTCATCATTCAAGAAACCCTTGTCCCAATGCACAGCATACAGTAAACATAGAGTAGTTTCCCACATTTCTTTGTTTCTTTCTGATCCATTTTAAACAGTTTAACTGCTACTAATTTCCTGAACAACTTACTGTCCAGCGTCAGTCAAATACTTGGAAACCCACCTCACCAACCAGTATGGGAGGAGAGCTTTGAGGAGGACTGCACCTGAGAAAGCTAAACAGGCAGCAACCCTTTTTCCTGCAGTATGCTACAAATCAAATAAATCACAGTTGTTTTTCTCCATTGCTGACTTCAACCCTGCAGTTCTGTCTGCGGCAGACTCTCATTAACTCCGTTACGCAGCGAGGAGAAAATGAATGCTTGATGCCCTGCTCTTTCCTTCCTCACTCAGAGGGAAAACTACCATTCTGATGAGATTGGGCAAGTCACAGGGGAAAGAGAAGAGAAACATGGAAAGGACAGGAGAATCACAGAGAAAGGACCCAGAGGAAAACAGAACTCATCAGGAAAACGTGCAATGTTTATAAGTAAAGTGGTTTATGAAGCACAGATTTTAACTCCTTTACCACCAAAATTAAGATAAAACCACTGAAAATATTACTTATCTAACTCTGTGGCTCACTATGTGCAAACAGGTTAAAAAAAAAAAATGTGACCACTTTGACAAAAGAATGATCAGAACTCATTAACTAATCATGTACCATTTTAATCTCTTAGAATAGTGGGGTTCTATAGGAATATTTTTATAGTAAATAAGCCTTAATTGATGCCACCATCAAGTGAGGCCACAGATCATCAGAAGGAAACAAAAAAACAGCCAGGAAAGAGCCATTTGGGTATAAGGAACCACCTGCAAAATGCGATACAATTTGCTTAAGTATCTGCACCTGGATTTTTAAAAAGAAAAATGGACAGAAATATATTTTTTTAAATGCCAACAAAAACATCAGAAATACTGTCATTTTCTACAATACCAACAGGAATAAAAGGAATGATTTTGTTTCATATGGTCACTTGATGCAGTCCTCTATTTATGGTTAACATTCATAACACATAAATGGAAAAATAAAGCATATGAGAAATAAGCATCCCTTTGAAAAAATGCAAGCCTCGGTGAATGGAGAGAAAGAACCACATGGATGTAATGATCACATGTACACAATACAATGTCCTGAGGCCTACATCAAGGCATAAAAAACAGCAGGGAGGTCCTCACATGCAAAATCCATGGAATCACTTTAATAATATGATTTAAATGGATTATCAAACTTTTCAAATCTGTAACTTTGTGCAGCTCTAAATGAATTACATTTTAAATTAAAATCAATGCAGAAAGGGGAGTCTATTTAATTTTCCTTTGCTATGGATTTGTAATCAGGACCTGAACAATGTGGTGACTGGTCATAAGTGAATTTAAATTGGAAAACCACTGAAGGAAGGTAATTTGCAGGATATTAAGAACTTCACATTGTTTCAGAATTTATATTTACAACAGGCTATCAAAATTATATTTTATATCACCCTGGAAAAAGACTCATGAATAACACAAATTATATACAAAGCATGTATGTCAAAATGAGATTTATCTCAAAACACCTGCAGGAGTACATGGATCATACCCACCCGCACTCCACAGTCCAGGAAAATTATTTTATTCAACATATACACAAGCCAATATAACCATAATATTATTAAACATAATGTGATAATATATTTTAAAACTCCAAAATAGCCCAGTTGGTGTGGCCCTCTCTCCTCTCTCTCTCTCTCTCTCTCTCTCTCTCTCTCTCTCTCTCTCATCCTCCGTTCTTCTGCTCCTTCTCTCTCGCCACCTCCACCTCTGCCTCTCCCTTCTCTAAAACATGTCCTCGGGTGAGGATTATTTTAAAAAAGAAAAAAATCAATGGTTATTGCCCTGGCCAGATGGCTCAGTTGACACAGCTAGGTTGTAGGTTCGATTCTCACTAAGGGTGGTGCGTATGATAAGCAAACTGATCAATATTTCTCTCTCACATCGATGTCTCTGTCTCACTCTTTCTTCTCTCCCTCTCATCAATAAAAACATATCCTCAGATGAGGATCTTTTTTAAAAAGAAGTCAACGAGCCCTAGGCAGTTTGGCACAGTGGATAAAGCATCGGCGTATGGATTGAAGGGTCTTGGGTTCAATTCCAGTTAAGGGTACGGACCTCAATTGCAGGCTCCTCCCCAGACAGGGCCCTGGTCAGGGCACATGCAGGAGACAACCAATCAATGTGTTTCTCTCACATCAATATTTCTGTCTTTCCCTCTCTCTAAAAATCAATGGAAAAACATCCTCAGGTGAGGATTAAAAAAAAAGGAGAAGAAGCCAATGGTTACTAAACCTTAAAAACCATCTCATTCCCTTAGGCCTTGTGACCCAAATCAAGCAGTGCTGGTCACAAGTAACAAACTTCTTGCCCATAAAAGAGTTCTAAAAATCAATTACAGCTAGGGTTAAACTATGTCGATTGATGTTTTACTTTGAATTCACCTAAGGTTCTTCCATCTTTTCTCTGCTGTTTTAAAATTAAATATGAAATTTTAGTCTGAATTCTGAATTACTCACAAATGGGTTTCAATGTAAAAATCCTAAAAAGATCAAACTAAGAAAATAATCAGTTATGCCGAAACCGGTTTGGCTCAGTGGTAGAGCGTCGGTCTGCGGACTGAAAGGTCTCGGGTTCGATTCCGGTCAAGGGCATGTACCTTGGTTGCAGGCACATCCCCGGTAGGGAGTGTGCAGAAGGCAGCTGGTCAATGTTTCTCTCTCATCGACGTTTCTAGCTCTCTATCTCTCTCCCTTCCTCTCTGTAAAAAATCAATAAAATATATTTTAATAAAAAAGAAAATAATCAGTTATTTCACATTTCAAGCTACGGAGACTAGTCTTATTTCCCCATACCAACTCCTCTCTACAAGTAACACATTGGTTTCTATGTCAATAAACTAATGAGTTCTCAATAAAAAGGCATCTAATTTGGGGGTGAAAAAAAACTGAAAAGAACTGTTTGGAAATAAAACTGCATTTCTACTAAACTAGAAAGAACACATACTTTTCATTTTAAATAAACATTCAAAAATTAGAACTACTGAAATACTGCATAGAATTCATGGAACAAAATAGTTTTAACATTTATTCCAAGAAGAATCAACTCTTGGGAGCAGAGCATCCAAGAGAAGAGGAAGAGCAATGATATGAAGTTACAATAGACTACTCAGGAAGTCGCTTTTTGGGATCTATAGCTTATTTATATCATCTTCAAAGATAAGACACTGCCGGGACCGGTTTGGCTCAGTGGATGGAGCGTTGGCCTGCGGACTGAGGGGTCCCGGGTTCGATTCCGGTCAGGGGCATATACCTTGGTTGCGGGCACATCCCCAGTGGGGAGGGTGCAGGAGGCAGCTGGTCGATGTTTCTCTCTCATTGACCTTTCTAACTCTCTGTCTGTCCCTCTCAATTCCTCTCTGTGTAAAATCAATAAAAATATATTAAAAAAAAAAAAAAAGATAAGACACTACCTGTCAATTCCCTAACAAAATGAAGTTAATACGTGGGTTCTTTCCTTTTTTTAAGATGTTACACAGTGGAAAACAAGCAAAGGTGGTCTTTGGACCACTCTTTCAATCCAAGCAACATGTTAGCGATGTGAAGGCTAGAATACTAAAGAACATACACTCCAGAAATCCCAACAGAGCCTTGAAACCCTAAAAGCATCCCACAACCACCTTTGGTGAGACTGCCATGGTACTGCTGGGAGTTGCGCAGCACGGGTAAGTGTAGAATCACGTAAGCCCTCCCAAGGGCCAGGACATATTCAAGATTGCCCTCTATTCAGTGTAAAACCACTCATACGTAAGAAGCACTATTCTAAGTGACAGAAATGAGATACAAAAGTCTACATATTGTATAACTCACTTTTATGACATTCTAGGTACATATATCAGATTAGAAGCTGCCAGTGGCTTGAGGGAGGGATTTGTGCAAAGGGGCACAAGATAACTTTATGAGAATACTATTATATATCTCAGTAATGGTGGTAGTTACACTACTGCACATATTGTCAAAACTCAATAAATAGTATATTCAAAGGGGGTGGCTTTCACTGTGAGTGCATTTTCGAAATAGAACAGATTTGCTCTAAAAATAATGCGCTCTTTCTCACAGAGAAAAAATTTTCCAAATTGTCAACTGGTTTACACTTTCTAATATGTTAGCTATTACTAAAAAATATATTTTTTTTAATTTCCAATCCCATTATGACAAACATAAACACATGCTGAGGCTATTAAAATCACCAAAGTTTCAAAAATTAGAAAGATTCAAAAATTAAAGTTACAGTTCAGTTTCTATGGGTATATTAACAATTAGGAGTTCCCTCAATACAGCCTGCATCCTTTCCAATCGGACATCCCTCTCACAATCTGGGACTGCTGGCTCCTAACCACTTACCTGCGTGCCTGCCTGATCACCCCTAATTGCCTCTGCCTGCCTGCCTGCCTGCCTGCCTGATTGCTCCTAACTGCCCTCCCATGCTGGTCTGATCTCGCCCCTAACCACCTCAGCCTGCCTGATCACCCCTAATTGCCTCTGCCTCCGCCCCCACCACCATGGCTTTGTCTGGAAGGAAGTAGGACAAAGAAGGTGGCTGGTCAGCATGGTCTAATTAGCATATTACCCTTTTATTAGTATAGATAGTTTGGAAAAGCTGAATTTAGTTATTAATCACTAAGGAAAGAAAGGAAGAAGAGAAGGGAAACAGGAGAGAAGGAATATGGAGAAACAGATAATAAGGGGGGAACACAGAAAAAGGATACAGAAGTATTGCTTCTGTGAGAAATGCTTTTTAGGTAGCATCTACACATGAAGGCTTATTAATGGAATAAACTAATGAGCTACATTATGTGGGAAGAAGCCTGGTCATTTTTACCCACATTCCTACATAAGAGGTAAACATTAGGTGTTAAAGCTATAGTTGGTCTCTCTGTGCTTCCTCCCATTCATGGAACAACTAATCATTCAGGCCTGGTAGAAAATTACCAAGCTGCAGGCTTCACTCAGCTCCAGGTGTCCATAATCCACCGATATCTCTACTGGTAGAGATATAGCCCCATTGAGCTCTGAAGGAGGACAGCCAGGAGTCCATACTGATCTTGGTATCGAGAAGGATGGTGGTTCCACCCAATGTAACAGGTATGTGGGGCCATTACATATGGTTTTACTACATCTTGAGGTCACTTTGCTTCAATTCCTGCTTTCCCCCTACTTAAATGGACAGATGGACCATACATACACAGGTCACTAGGACTCTCCAAGCTATGCACTTGGGCTCAAACAGGTCACAGTAAACGAAGCAGGATTTCCCTAGGCCAGTTTCATTCTGCAGAATGAAAGAATTCTCCATTTCCTCCCAAGGTAACTCCTCCCTGCTAGCTGGCATTCCCTTTCAGAATTCTTCCTCCCCACACCCTATTGTCACTTCTCAGAACTGTACTTCATCCCACATCCAAATTCTACTAGCTTGGTGTATGTATATTATATATTACCATCCAACGTCTAAAATCCTTTTAAGACAGAAACATGGCCAACTTAAAATATTCATAAATCTAAACACAGACAATGACATCTAAAATCAAATGATGAGGAAATTAAGTTTAGGGATTGTCTCACCATTTTTAATGAAACTCAACTGACAGCAAAATAAAAAAATAAAAAAAACACCATGACACACCACACTGTTGAGCCATGAAATAGGCATGAGGGCATTTGATATGTCATTGGACTTCATTTTTTTATGGCTTAGGGGGACCCTTAAAATTGACTGTTTATAATCAGGTATTGCATTTATTCGCCTTTCAAAACCACAAATTTTAATACAATATTTTCAGATTATCATCTAAATCAAACTTAGGAAATAATGTATTTCAAAACCACAAATTTTAATACAATATTTTCAGATTATCATCTAAATCAAACTTAGGAAATAATGTATTTCAAAACCACAAATTTTAATACAATATTTTCAGATTATCATCTAAATCAAACTTAGGAAATAATGTATTTACCAATTTGAGAACTTGCAAAAGTACATTTTCCTAATTCCAACACAGAGGTATGAGAACAGGTAAATTTCAAATATGTTCACAGAATTACAAATGGCTTCATTATTGCTGTTCTTCTAATCTCTTGATAGCATCTCTTTTGGAACAAACCCTTTAAGGGATTTGACGACTGTATCTCAGAAATGCACAGATATGCCCAATTTTGAATATAATTTCAGAAGATCCATGGACCGCCTACATCCCATCACAGATGCTAGTCCACCTTCTGGGATAAGGATCCCTGCACATCAGGCTAAGAATCTGTTCCACGGGCCTACAGTCAAGATTCCTAGTCATTTAAACACATAAACATACACACCCCAAAGGTAACTATTTAAAAAAACCATGAACTAAATTAATCCTTCCTAATAATGGTTCTTTTGTTCTATTTTGCTGAAATTTGTTCTTTTAATAAAGTCAAAACTAAAATACTTATTGCAAGTAAACATAAGGACCTAAAATAATTTATTCATTTAACATCCTGTAATTTAAAACATGATTCCTGCTGATCATTCACACTTCTAAAATCAGCTGTACAAAGTCCTAACTCACATATTCTTTCCTCAGTAACCAAAATTTTGACCAAAGTAAGTCATCTTTAATTTGTCTTTAATATATGCATGCTATTCACAATAAAAAAGATCAATGGGATTCAGTCCTGCACAAAAGATTTTAGCATTCCCAATTGTCTTTAATCCATACTTTGCTTAACTTAATAGAAGAGCACAGATATCTCTACTTTCTAAAATGGATGAGATTTAGACATTCTAAAAACTGAAATCTTCAAAACTGTCATTTATGATTTAACATTATACCTCTATTCTACTTTATACTTTCCATTCAATTGTATCAAACCAAAAATTAGAAAGAATGCAATAGCATTACAGGTGAACATAGCAAGTATAAAAATTGCAACAATTCACTGGAGATTTTTTATTATATTACATTTATGTCTGCATGATATTGAGGGGGAAAAAACAAACCTGTATAAATGAGAAAGCAGCTAAAGAGCAAAATCAAACTCCTGGCTTTATTAGGTGCAGGCCTAATGTCTTTCAGATAAAATATTTGTAGGTGCCACAGTCAATCAAGATTTCAACAGGAACCGAAGATGAAAGCATTCATGCATAAAAGGCAAGTGTGATAATTATGATATGGAGACAAGATAATGGAAAACATCCGAGGCCACTTTTCACTTTGTGTATCAAGTGCTGCCTTGACCTAGCCATCCTGCAATGTGCAATCATATTTATTGTTACTTTATCATTTTAATTACTTAGCAGAATTCAATTAATTTGGCTGGCACGTAGTCAGCGGATGGGAATCCTTCACTATCTTACAGGGTCTTTTCCCTGTGTCATTTCTAAACATAATGCTGCAAAACAGGTTTGAATAAACATGCAGCTGAGTTTTAAATTCTTGTTCATCCTTCAAGTTTATTAATTAACCTCTTACTGATTAAAGAAATGTCACCTATTTTCCTGGAATGTCATTTTCAGATAGAATATGTCAAAGTGGTGACAGACAGATTCTAGTCAAAATTTCAGTATGACTCTATACAGTAAAGTTTACATTGGCTCCATTTTAAAATTCTCAGGGTGCAAATAGAAAATAGTGGGGTAATTACTATAGAGGATAGTTCTGCATGCAGATTTAGTACAAAGTTCATTGCTGATGTATTCAAGTATTACAGGAATCATTTTCTAAGCTGTGCTCTACATAATCTGTTATCTAGAATCCATCTACCTTAGCATTCATGAAAATAGTCCTCAACAAAGTTCAAGGTTACAATTACACTACTATTATTATTATAATGTATTATATTATAAAAACACTAAGGCTTTATACTTATTACTTGCCAAAATTATAATAATGTTTCTTAAAAATGTGACATGTTACTGTTCCTTCTATACTCTTATAATTTGGAGGAAAGTAATTTTCAGATGTTATTAACAATTTCTCTTCAGAACTGTCGAGTCAAAGAATGGATTTTCTCAGTATACACATTTCGTTATTAAAAGAAGGCTATATACAGCAAGGATGAAATTCCTTTCATAGAAGGCAAACCTAACATTCCAATGAAACTTAGATTAGTACCTGACTAAGGGGGCAATATTCATGAGGATTTAATCCTGAATAAAGACCGAACATCTTCTGTTTAGTTGTTGCTCAGTAAATTTTACTTTCCCCTGGAAATAAGTCACTCCCATGACTAGCAAAACAGAAGATGAGGCTGGCAGGAGGTGAATCTGACTCTTCTGCCTTGTATAAGCAGATGAGGGCAAGGTTGCCAGGGAAGAAAAAAGGGAAGGTACTATCTGCAAACATAAGTGAACACAAAATAAAACCATCAATCAGCTTCCCAGAAATAACTATGGATTAAGCCAAAAGATAATGATAAGATAAAGATAATTCAAGTTCTAGTAAAGAATGTTTAAATTTGCCAGTCTAAGAAGACATACATTCTCACACTCATCCAGTAACCTGGGACCATTCAGCTATTAATACATCCTACTTACTAATAAAAGCCTAAGTGGTCATCAAAATGACAGCACGCACGGGTGGGCGGGGCTCGGCTTGAAGCTGCCTGGGTGTCCAGGCAAAGCCGGGAGGAGGTGGGTCCCCTGGCTCCTCGAGGCAAGGCCTGCCTGGGGATCTTGGGGGTCCCGCCTCCAAGCTCCATGCAGCGGGGAGGCAGGATCCCCAGCTCTGGCCTACCAATTTTAGGCAATCCATCAAGGAGCCCTGGATGGGTGAGCAGGGCCTACCTCTTTGGGGCAATCGATGGCGGGGCTCCTGTACTCTGACAGGACACAGGCCAAGCTGGGGGATATATCCCACCCTCTCCTCCCCCCCTACCGCCCCCCTCACCCAGAGTACATGAATTTCATGCATCTGGCCTCTAAATGTTTCCATAAGGGCAGTCTCAGGCCAACGGTGCCAAATGAGAATTAGAAGTCAGAAGTCCCTTTTGGTGAAATGATCCAGCAACATAAAAAGTATTCATAAAACACCTTATACCCTTGGATGTGGCAACTTAAAAGAAGGAAAAATATTATCAACACAATGAAGTTGATACATTATATAAAAGAGAAAAATATTGGAAATAACCAAAATAGTTATATGCAGTCATGTGATGAAATACTAAGGAGCCAACTAAAATAACCATGAATATTATGCAACCAGGAAACCTATGCATACATTAATGTGAAAAAAAAGTTAAAATTATCCAATTAGAGAAATGAAAGCCAATAACTTAAAAAGAATAAAGTTAACTTATTGAGATTCTATATTGAAAAAAAGAAAAAAAATGCTCAAAAACTATGAACTTATCTGGATGAGAAGCACAGAAAGCAAGTTTACCTTGAGCTAGTCGTTCAAGTCGTTTCCCATGCTCCGGGGGTATTGCATACCTAAAATGTTAAACATATATGAAGATTTTAAGTTTATAACTGTTTAGCTACTTCCTAAACATATCTACTCCTAAATAATGTCGTGGGGGGAGGGGGGGGGGGAATTCAATAACAAAATCTACTTAGATGAACTGAGTAGAGATCAGAAAAACAATTACAGAGTCATATCCCTCGGACAAAGGATAGAAGAAAAATAAATACTTATTTCAATGCCATGCTCACCATTCCCACCACCTTAAGAAGCAAGGGTCCAAGAGCAGGAAACTGCTTAATCAGGAGGCAACTAGCCACAGCACGGAGACTAGACCTCTCTCCAAACACTTATAGAACCCCAGAAATCCGGGACTATTTTGAGTTGTATGTTTTAGTTTTGTGGTTGGTTAGCTGGCCTTTATTTTTTAAGAAAACCTAGATTTGCTAGATGTTTTTAACCTTTTAAAATGTTCTTATTGACAAGCAGGATAGAACACAAAATTACTACAACAACATTTAGATTTTTACCAAATCTTTTTATTGTACTTTTGAATAGACTTTAAATTTTTTAAAAATCATCAGCCATTTAAAAATCATTTCATGAGTATGTGACTTTTAAAATCTTGATTATAAACAAATAATTTTTCTGTTTTGAAGAACAGAAATATTCATTTCTATTTCCTGGTGTTTTCAAAAGTGAAATGCCTGAATTTATTTTCTGTAAATTTAATAACAAATTTTAAAACAATGATCGCACAATGTACTACACAAATACTAAATTTTATAAGCAGTCTAATGAGGAAAATTAAGACTACTAAAAATAAAGTTAAATAATCATTTCATGTTTTAAGTAAAAATATGTTATTCCCAAGGCCTGCATTTGCTGTTTACTAACCCAAGTTACTTTTAAGTTCAAGTTACTTTTTACTAAAATAACTTTTCTAATTTTACTGAACACCACACTTGGTTACATTTAAAGCCACTGATAACATATGCAAACCTTAATTGGATCCGATGTAACTAGGCAATTCTCTGAAAGAAAATTCAACCATATATCCTGTTTCCTAAAGGCACCGCTAATGAAATTATTCCAACTGAATTGGGAAGATAAAATTTCAGCATAAATAAATGACAGTCACTCAGTGTGTATTTACAGTCACTTCTTACTACATTTTTAATCCCTGGTTTATATCACCATATATAGCCAGAAAAGAAAAAACATGTACATATGTGCCCCAGACAGGAAGGTCACCTCCCCCAGAACATACATACACACACTCATACACTGCCTCAACTTCCTGATCAGTTCAAATTCTATTTCAATCAAAACTTTCTCCCAAGATTTAAGCATCTCACGAGACTCCACATTTTTTAACATGGTTTCCCCATTTGGCCCTGCCCTCTCTTCATTCCTCCTATATAGTACCCAGGCTGTATGCATACAAATCCACAGGCTTGGGTTGCTTAGTTTCCAATTAAATGGCATGAGATGGGGAGATATAATACCCCAATACAACTGCCCAAAAGATTTAATTCCTATGATTGTTGTAGCCAGCACTGAAAATTATCATCTAATTATTTAATTAAAAAATGAGTAATGCCAAAACCGGTTTGGCTCAGTGGATAGAGCGTCAGCCTGCGGACTGAAGGGTCCCGGGTTCGATTCCGGTCAAGGGCATGTACCTTGGTTACAGGCACATCCCCAGTAGGGGGTGTGCAGGAGGCAGCTGATCGATGTTTCTCTCTCATCGATGTTTCTAGCTCTCTGTCTCTCTTCCTTCCTCTTTGTAAAAAATCAATAAAATATTTTTAAAAATTAGTAATAAGTAAAAGTCAACCATTAAAAGGTTCCAATTTCATAAGAATATGTTAATATTTTTCATGAGAATAATTTTAAAGATCATTTTCAACTACATTTGAACAGAAAGCATTGAATTGAGGGCAGAAACTCCCTTTAAAAAGCCTAAATTACTACTATGCTTTCAAAAAGTTTGAAATCTTGCTGCTCTGATGACATCCAAGCCAATGAAGAGGCGCTGCCTATGGAGAAACCTGAGGTGGTGAGGACGCACCTGCGCATCATCCAGCTGGAGATGGTGGGCACCAAGGGGAGTGGATACAATGGCAAGACCTTCACCCAGGTGGAAGTCAAGCCTGAGATGACTGGCCACTGCCTGTGTGAGTTCTCCATCACCTACAGGCCAGGAAGCACCACCAGCCCGGCATTGGAGCCACCCACTCCTCCCACTTCATCCCTCTCAAGCAGGGATGAGAGAGAGAGAGAGAGAGAGAGAGAGAGAGAGAGAGAGAGAGAGAGAGAGAGAGAGAGAGAGAGAGAGAGAGGCTGACTTCCCTCTGAGATCCCTCAGAGTCCTCCGTTTTTCAAGTGGGACAGAAAAAAACCTCCCTGAAATATCTGTTGTCTGGATTACCTGAGATGATTTCTTAAAGTCATTAGCGTAATTCCTGGCACACGAAGAACATCACTAAATTAAATGGAGTTACCAAAGAGAGACAACATACTTCATCACCCTAGTCAAGCCCTACTCCTCGAAATGTAAGCCTACAAAAATGAACATATGTGAACTCAAAGAAGTAACAAATCTATTTGCAAGTCTCCCTGTGGAAGTGAAATCACACACACACACGGAAAAATAAAAAAAAGAAGCAGCAGCAGCCACTTTCCTATATTCTCAAGTCAAAACAATATTTTTGCAAAACAAATATCATATAATATGTATCTTCTACAAAGTACTACTACCTAAAGAGGAAGATTAAACAGTCTGAAAAGGAAAATGGGAAATATTGGGGGGGAGGGGGGAGAAGAGAGATAAGCTAGGCCAAAACAATTGTGAACTGCTACCTCTGCCACAGTAATTTGTAAAGATGATAGAACTAATTTAGCTTGTTTTCCAATAACTACATGGCATTACATTAACCTGATTTTTCCCTAAAAGTTATGGATTTGATTCAGCAAATTTTTTTTTTTTCATTCGAAGAGGTTTCTCTGGTTCATGTAGGTGGTAGTGTTTGCTTTAAATGAAAGAGCAACAACAAGGCAATATGAGGCATCCTGAAGGAATTTACAAAGCCCCAATATGCTTATCAGAGGCATCAAAAGTACTCAGTTAATGTAAGTTTACATTAATTACCCACAATGACCCATCAGTTAGTGAAAAGACATTACACTTCAGCATTTCAGGGAAAAGAATGAGATTTATTTTCAAAATCATGAACACTAGGCCTCATAAACTTCCTATAGGGCAGCAGTCTCCAACCTTTCGGACCTCACGGTCAGACCGCTGCTTTAGGGAACTCTGTGCTGAGCAAGGGCCTGGTCTGCAGGCATGTGAATGCGGTTGTCTTTATCTCCAAGTCAGGCTCTGCGCGCGCGCCACTCAGCTCATCCCAGGCCCTATGCACCTGCCACCGCAACTCAACTAGCTGCTGCTTCGGTCTGGCCCCAATGGGGGAGGAGCACACAGGAGGAGTGTCCATGGGAGAGGCTCTGCAGCCTGGTTTCTACAATAGTTAAGCAGCACTTCCCCTGTGGGAGCATGCTGACCAACAGGGTATAGCTCCAGCACTGAGCGTCTGCCCCCTGGTGGTCAGTGCATATCATAGCAACCAGTCATTCTAGTGGTTTCAACATGAAGGTCACTTAGGCTTTTATTAGATGATTGATAGATAGATAGATGATAGATAGACAGATAGATAGATAGATAGATAGATAGATAGATAGATAGATGATAGATAGATAGATGATAGATAGATAGATAGATGATGATAGATAGATGATAGATAGACAGACAGATAGATAGATGATAGATAGATATGCATAACCCATGGACACAGATAATAGTGCAGTGAAGGCAGGGGAGGTTGCTAGCGGGCGGGTAAGAGAGACATCTGTAATACTTTCAACAATGAAAGATAAATTTTAAAAAACCAAACAGCTGGTACTCTCAAATATTACAAAACACTAAAAAGCCCAGCCAGCATGGCTCAGTTGAGCATAGACCTATGAACCTGGAGATCACTGTTTAGTTCCAATCAGAACATATGCTTGAGCTATTGGCTCAATCCCCAAAAATGGGCATGCAGAGACAGTTGATCAATGTTTCTCTTTCAACTATGCTTACTCTTTCTCTCTCTCCCTCTCCCTCCCTCTCTCTGAAATCAATAAAAACATATTTTTTTAAAAAACTAAAAAATTATTTAATTAAAAAAGCATCAAACTAAGTTTACATTTATTCTAAAACATCTGACATCACTTATTCCTGCATGGCATTTTAACAAAATCTCAGTTCGTTGTATAAAATTTAACCAAATCCATAACATTCAGGAAAACCTTCTTTCTTGATTTTAGACCTTTCCACAACTTAAGACATATCTTCTTAAACCTCACCTCTCCCATTCTCTATAGAGTAAATCTTATTCATTGTGTTTGGACATGGACTTGGAAAAAAGAGGATTCAAGACATCATCTAATTCTATATCCCCAGCAGTTAACCACTACCATAAGCACTGGATGCTTGGGAGAATTATATTGTATCCTCGAAACTTCCAATCTATTATATGCCAAGTTTAGACTTAAAGTAGTAATTACTATGACCAAAAAAAAAATGATTCATTTTCATAAGATTATTAAAATAATGGTAATTATAAATATTTGGACAGTACTTTACAGATTAAAAAGCACTTTCACACAGAATATATCCCTGGACCCTTCTAGCAATCCTATAAGTAGACAGTGAATAAATCATGCCTCCATTTGGCAGTTAAAGAAATTTATGATTAAAGTCGTACAGTGTTTTGCCCTAAGTCATTCAGCTGGTAAGTGACAGATTGGGATTTTAAAACAGGTCTTCTTGCTCCAAAGTCAATATTAATTCAAAAAATAATAAATACCACTGACTGCCAGAGCAGTTTTCTATCTGCTTACTTTAAGCATTCTTTTCCCCTTAAACCGTTATGCCAGAAATGTTTAAATAAATCAGCAGCCCCTCTGAAAGTCTCTTCAATACATCCCTGTATTCATGAAAACTTACTAAGCAAAATCTGCCATATATATAGTGCCCATAAAAGTATGTCTTGAGGTTCCCACCTGGGGCTGTGCATATCCTGCAGCTACTCAGAAATCTCAGGAAACTTCGTGTTCTTAATGGTTACGTTTTAGACAAAAATCTTTAAAACACGCGAGTGAGTGTGTGTGTGTGTGTGTGTGTGTGTGTGTGTGTGTGTTTTCCTTCTCTGCCTTTAAACAGATTGATCTCAAAAGACTTCAGGCAGCCGAAACCGGTTTGGCTCAGTGGATAGAGAGTTGGCCTGCGGACTGAAGGGTCCCGGGTTCGATTCCAGTCAAGGGCATGTACCTTGGCTGCGGGCACATCCCCAGTAGGGGGCGTGCAAGAGGCAGCTGATCAATGACTCTCTCTCATCGATGTTTCTAACTCTCTATCTCTCCCCCTTCCTCTCTATAAAAAATCAATAAAATATATTTTTTTTTTAAAAAGACTTCAGCCGAGACCAGTTTGGCTCGATGGATAGAGCGTCAGCTTGGGGACTGAAGGGTCCCGGGTTCGATTCCCGTCAAGGGCATGTACCTTGGCTGCGGGCATATCCCCAGTAGGGGGGGTGCAAGAGGCAGCTGATTGATGACTCTCTCTCATCAATGTTTCTAACTATCTCTCTCCCTTCCTTTCTGTACAAAATCAATAAAATACACTTTAAAAAAAAAAAAAGAAAAGACTTCAGGCAAAAATCTAAGGGATATAGGGGCACATGAAAGCAGTGTAGACATGGAAGTAGGGAGGGGATTCTAGGCAGCAGTCTTTGCAATAATCATACCAAAAACATGGTATGAAGAACTGAAGATGAAGAAGTAGAAGTTCATCGCCAGCCTGTAAGGCCAGAGAGAAGGAGGAAGACACAGCCAGGAAAGAGATGTCAAGCTGAGGAGAGGTCACTTCTGGAGAAGAGTAAAGGCAACTGTTTCAGATCCAACTCAACAAGCAGAGGCCAGCAGGAAAGGAAACCAGTGTGTGCTCATGTGCACGCACACCTACATCACTGTGTCATCCTCTCACTTTGTAGAGTAAGTGAAAATATTCCTATGGTTGGAGATCATACTGTTTAAGCTTGACATTTTGTGGGTGAGGAAACTTCAAGTACAGTTATCTGTCCAAAGACAAATGTTAGTAGCAGAATAAGGACTAGAGCCCTGATTGCTGGTCCTTGTGTCTTAGCTCGGCCACACACACTCCCTGCCTCCCAATATTTATATGAATTTGTACTGCTTCTACCAACTTTCAAAGCTCACTTTAAATATATTACGATTGTTACTAAAGTGAATTTTAATGATGATTGAGTTTACCTCAAAGTATTTAACGCTGAGCTAATATAATCTTTCATGAATCTACTGGGAAATATACTTACAGTCATTTATATCACTCTTTTCCTAGAGTAGTTATCTTAGAAAATGGAATGTAGATTAGCTGTCATACTTACTGCTGTGTTTTATTACTTTATCATTAAATATAAATAATAGTCAAGGTTAAAGATAATAGTGTTATTATAAATCTACCCTTAATGCACAGGATGGAGTCTATATGCTTAATAACTAATAGAGTAATTAAATATTGAAAATATACATGCTGGAAGAAAGAAATACCTTGGACACTAGCAGAATGATTCTCACAAACTGCAGGGCTCTTTCCCAAAGACACAAGATTCTAGAATCAGTCCGTTTCCTGACCAGAATATTCTCCCCTAAGTGATCTTTAGGAAACAACATAATACTGTTCTCAAGACTAGAGGAAAGGATAATCTACCCCCGGAAAAAAGCAGGAACCACATCTCTGACTCCTCTAATACCAAAAACTCAAATTAATGTCCCAATCATTCTTACTAATTAATATCTAACAAGCGTCCAGAAAAGCTTTGCTATTAGTGTTTCATTTTTCTTAAGGGAAATATAGTATATACTAGTAGTTACCTAAATACTACTAGATTTCACCAACATGTTGATTTATCCACTTCATTTAATTTTATCCACTCTGAAAGGGGGTGTCAGAAAGCATGGAGACCACTGTCCAGGAGCCTATGCACTACTTTGTAATATTTCTCAAAGTCTCCAAGAGCTAAGTCCCAAAAGTACTAACGGATGACAGATGTTTAGAAAGTTGTTGAAGAAAGATGACAAATAGAGACCCACAGGGCCTAGAGTGTGTGCTCACAACTGAGCCTCCTGTAAACAACTGTGAAATGAACAATCCCATCACACTGTCATAAAACCTCTCAACATACTAGACCTCATATTTAAAATGTTTGAAGTTTGATTTATTCCGTTAAAGGAGAAGAATGGCCAAAACCGGTTTGGCTCAGTGGATAGAGCATCAGCCTATGGACTTAAAGGTCCCAGGTTCGATTCTGGTCAAGGGCTTTTACCTTGGTTGTGGGCACATCCCCAGTAGGAGGTGTGCAAGAGGCAGCTGATCGATGTTTCTCTCTCATCAATGTTTCTAGCTCTCTATCCCTCTCTCTTCCTCTCTGTAAAAAAAATCAATAAAATATATTTTTTTAAATAAAAATAAAAGAGAAGAATGCTAAAAATTAATCAAATTAAATGTGCTTACCTTTAAAATAAGTTAAACAGCCCTGCTCAATTTGGCTCAGCAGAGCTTCCCACTTTGTTTTTTTAGATTAAAAAAAAAACTCATCAGCAAAGTAAGAACTGCCTGGATTTTTCTCTTCTATATCCTAAGAACTTTGCCCTTCCACCTAATACTTTCCTTCCAAGTAGATGTCATTTTCAATCATTAGGAAGTTTTCCTATATTTAAATTTTTTGGAGAAAGCTTACCATTTCTCATTTCACCAAATGATAAAACCTCAATGGCAAGATTGGACTAGAACTTACACACTGTATTTCAACTCATGATAAGCAGAACTTGAAAGAGACCATTCTCTTTGAATTGGAACCAAGAAAGCTGCTGGGCTGACACAATACCTGAAGAGCATCCTAAATGTTCATCAGAACATCCTATTTCCTGTTGTCCAGATTATGCTTCATATGCTCTTGCCTGTGTGTTACCCTGATGTACATATATTAAAGAAAGTAGGCTGATATTATAGAAAATAGACTTAACTCTTTAAAACATGAAAATGCCTGACCACAAAGCATACCAGGGTTAGCAAGCTAATAATTACAAATGTGCAATGAATGTACTATCTAATGCATTTTACAGAACCCTTAAGAAAAATGAGGAACGAAGTTCAAAAACAGAGGAAACTGCAAGTTAAGAACATGTATCAACATTCAATTGCTCTGACCCATGCCTATTACTCAAAGATTGATAACAGACCTCCTGATTCTCCTCTCCGCTCCCTCCAGCCACCACACACTATATAGAAATGGCAATTTATTTAGAGGAGGCTGGATAAGAAGGTTATTAAGATCATTTGATACTTTACATCCAGGAAGTCAACTTTCCCATACACCTTCCAACAAATGGTCAGATAAGTAAAGATGCCTAACAAGTCCTTCAAGACTAAAATATCTATCAACGCTTCACACACATATACACATAATGGTCTGTAGGCAACTTTAGATAGACAAGTCACCACTAGCTTCGTAACTTTGAGCAAAAACCTGGGGAAAGTGGAAGACAATGCATTATTACAGTAAAAAACTTTCTTACAGCTCATATTAAATCTGATTCCACCAAGGGAAAAACATCCTCTTCAATAGTTCTAGTGCCTTGCCCAAACTTCAAAATTCCAAAGTGAATGAATAGTAAACATGTAACTTGCCAAGACTTGGGCTCTCCAAAGTGGAGGTAATTAATGCTGTAGAGGTCCATATCCTCGGTGTGCCACGCGAATGTGGTTTTCCACATGCCAAAATAGAGATATGGGGTATTTACACCCTCAATAGAAATACCGCACTCTTCCTCAACCACATCCAAGATAGTATTTAGGCGAGCTATGTTCCATTCATCCACACCCTGGAACCAGAAGAGAGAGAGAAAAAAAATCAAGCATTATTACACTACTAAAGGTAACATTTACTAATCAAACCATCATCTGCCAAAATTATTACACTGTATATTTTCATTCACTTAGAAATGAAAAGTAAAGCAATTATTATTCAAGAAGCTATAGAGAGAGAAATGGTCATTTATTTAGAGGAGGCTGGACTGGAAGATTATTAAGATTATTTGATACTTTACATCCAGGAAGTCAACACACACACACCAGAAGCCCGATGCACAAAATTCATGCACGGGGGAGGGTGTCCTTCAGCCCAGCCTGCACCCTCTCCAATCTGGGACCCCTCCAGGGATGTCCAACGGCCCTCTCACAATCCAGGACTTCTGGCTCCCAACTGCTCACCTGCCTGCCTTGCTGATTGCCCCTAACCGCTTCTGCCTGCTAGCCTGATCACCCCCTAACCACTTCCCTGCCAGCCTGATTGATGCCTAACTGTTCCCCTGCCAGCCTGTTTGCCCCTAACTGACCTCCCCTGCAGGCCTGGTCACCCCTAACTGCCTTCCCCTGCAGGCCTGATCACTCCCAACTGCCCTCCCTTGTAGCCTGGTCCCTCCCTACTACCCTCCCTTGCTGGCCATCTTGTGGCAGCCATCTTTGACCACATGGGGGCAGCCATTTTGTGTGTTGGAGTGATGGTCAATTTGCATATTACTCTTTTATTAGATAGGATAGAGGCCTGGTGCAAGGATGGGGGCCAGCTGGTTTGCCCTGAAGGGTGTCCCAGATCAGGGTGGGGGTTCCATTGGGACATAGGGCAGCCCGGGCAAGGGTCCTATGGTGGTGTGCAGGCTGGCCACGCCCCCCGGTGACCCAAACAGAGGCCCTGGTATCTGGAATTTATTTATCTTCTATAATTGAAACTTTGTAGCCTTGAGCAGAGCCAAGCCTCCTGCTAGCTCCATGGCTGAAGCCATTTTGTTGGGATTTATTTATCTTCTATAATTGAAACTTTTGTAGCCTTGAGTGGAGGCCTAGGCCCACCAGGGTATGAGGAAAGCTTGGCTTCCTCCATTACCAGGGAAACCCAAGCCTCCTGCATACTCTGTGGCTGCAGCCATCTTGGTTGGGTTAATTTGCATACTTGCTCCTGATTGGGTGGTGCACATGACTTGTGGCTGTGTCTGAGTGGTGGTTAATTTGCATATTATTGTTTTATCAGATAGGATATATCCATTATTAATTCTGTGAGGTTATTATGAGCATAATGTGGTTCTATATAAATATCAGTATAAAACTATACCAAATGACTCCCTGATTCCCAACATAAATGTAAGGTAAGTCCCCACTTGCTATTAGCAATACAATCATTTTTCAAAAACATGATCTGGAGATGTTTTCTATTTTTGGTACACCATTTAGATTTGAGTTATTTTATTTTTATTTTCACTTTGTTTATTTTTAAATTAGTTTAGAAGTCATATTCAACATCAGGTAATATTTCAAGATACCACTAGCAAAATATATGTTCTTTCATCCCTCTCTCATCCCCATCCAATTCAATTTTAGCATGATACATCATTTTCTAAAAATTGACCTCTACTGGAAAAACTCTTAGCACTACCCTAAGCCATAGTACATTGTGCTTTTATTGCTTCTTCAAGTAAATATTAAACTCCATGTTGATTATGAATTTTAAACACATAATAGCTGTTAAAAAAAATTCTTCTCCAAGCTTTGGTAGAATCACTGGAATAATACAGTTTTCTAACAATAACCCAACATGGTGGGTGATAATAGAGAGAAAAGGTTAGAATTGCTGGTATAAAAGAATAAGGTTATGCCTGGCCAAAGAATGTGAAATTCCAATGCAATCATGAAGGAACTGCAATGCTTTTAAACCCATCTCAAACTATTCAAGGTACTGTTAAAGACTGGCATTGCCCTAGCTAGTGTGGTGCAGTTGGTTGATCATCATCCCCTGCACCAAAACTTCACTGGCTTGATTCCTGATCCAGGCACATACCCAGGTTGTGGGTTTGATTCCTGAACAGGGTGCATATGGGAGGCAACTAATCACTGTTTCTCTTTCACCTTGATATTCCTCTCCATCATCCTTCCTCTCTGTTTCTTTCTCTAAAAAAAAAAAAAAAAAAAAAAAAAAAAAAAATTGCACTAGCTGGTTTGGGTCCTGGGTTCGATTCCCAGTCAAGGGCACAAGCGCAGGTTGTGGGCTTAATCCACAGTAGGGGGAGTGCAGGAGGCAGCTGAACAATGATTCTCTCTTATCATTGACGTTTCTGTATTTCTCTCACACTCCCTCTCTAAAATCAATTTAAAAAAATTTTGCCCTAGCCGGTTTGACTCAGTGGGTAGAGTGTCAGCCTGCGAACTGAAGGGTTCCAGGTTTGATTCCAGTCAAGGTCACATGCCTGGATTGTAGGCTCGATCCCCAGTAGGGCTTGTGCAGGAGGCAGCCAATCAGCGATTCTCTCTCATCATTGATGTTTCTATCTCTCCCTGTCCCTTCTTCTCTGAAATCAATAAGAATATATTTAAAATAAATAAAAATATATTTTTTTAAAAGTCAATAAAAACATTTTTTTAAAAAGAGGGACATTAAATTAATTTATACATACCCATAAGGCCCTCTCCAATAACTATTCGAATGGCCTCACAGACAATCACATCTAATATTTCTCTTACTGAAAATGTACAGGTTTCCTGTTTTCATTTTGGTCTATAGATGATTCTCTAATCAGTATGGTAATCTTACCTCCTCAAGCTTTTGGGTTAGAAAAATTGTTGATGGAGCAGTTAATGAAGCTCTGCCTCACTTAACATAATTGAAAGTGCCAACAGAAATAATTTAATTCCCAAAGTCTCCTAAGTGGTCATTCTATCTTTAACCCCACAGTGGGAAGTTTGCTATTTGGAAATTGATCAAAGTGTTTTAGAGAAGATCCTAAGTTCCAACTTATGAAACTTCATAAAAAGTAGATCAACTTATGTAAAATATTTTATCTCTATTTATAGTGATGCAATCTCTTAACCCTAGTCCAATCAGACTTCAGTCCAGTCATTCTAATAATAAAGTCCTATTTAAAAGTCATTACTGAGGCAATGAATATGAATATGAATAATGAATATGAGAGCTATATTACAGCAATCATTTTTAAACTGAATGAACTTGCAAATTTAGGAACAAAGCATTCCTCTGAAACTCCTTCATTTACAGAGAAAGATCCTAACTTGATTAGTGACTGATTTTTATTTTTTTTTAAATAACTAAAGCTGACTCATTTGACATCCTCAAACCTACGTATCTAAGGGGATAAGGTAGAGAAGAGAGAATGCTGGCAGAAGACCCAGATTATAACCCAGCTCTGCCGCTGGCCAGGGCAAAGAACACTGAGATTTTCTGAGCTGCCAGTCTTTCTTCACCAAAGCCTGAGTTCTAGCAACTTCCCAGAGATTCATGGAATGAATATTGAACATGCTAAAGTTCACAAAATGTTCAGAAATTTTCTTAGAATAGATAGAATAAATATCTCCAGTATTCTCTAGTAAATCTTAGTAGAAAGCCTCCCCCAAAACCACAGTCGAATATATATTAAGAAATAATGAAGTCCTAAGACATTTACTACTGATGTTATCCTCATTAATAGGCAAATAACATATTTTTTTTTAAGGTAAAGTGACGGGCAAGGCCAAGGGTGACATGAGGCTGAAACTTTTAACTTCTTTTCAAAAAATTATATGAAATTATTAGAATCTCATATAATTTCAATTTAAAAAGTGGTTAAAATACTAAGAATAACAGTTGTAAAGAGACAGTAGACAAATTTTACCACTTCAAAATTTCTTCTCCAGTTTCCATTCTCCACTATGGACTGAACTGGCTAAACTGTCTCCAAGGACAGGCCCTATACAAACACCAACAAGCACCAGTCTCCTAAACAAACTCAGAGTATGATGAGACATACTCTGAGTTTGTTTAGGAGACTGGTGCTTGTTTCCCAAAGTGTGGTACAGGAAGAGTTTGGTGGGGGTACGCGTTGCACCGGAGTTTGGTGGGAATATGCACCGCACCGTGCTTTAGCCGCGCCTAATTCTATGTTCTCATGAGTACGAGTAGTACTCAGCGTTACAAAAATTATAGAAGGGGTACACATATGTCAAAAGTTTGGGAAACACTGATTTAGGTGAAGTGTTAACCACACTCTACCTCATACCTATACACCACACCTATTCAAAACAATCTGGTAACATTGGTAATGTTAAACCTAAATGAACAAATGGGGAAACCTAATACTCCTGGCCAGTAATAGGTGGCAAAAATTAAACTAAATCTATGTGACTCCTGGGCCTTCACTTGTAAACACTATGCTTCCAGTTCTGATCATTTTAAAATACAACATATCATCCTCCTCTCTCAGCAACAATTGTCAACAAAGATCTAAAGAGCTAAAATTTAGGGCAGGCAAACAAAGTTGCCACGTCCTGCCCACCCAGGAGTACAACTGTTCTACACAAACACTGGCAAAGCTTATAATAAAAGCTGCTTCACTTGAGTGTTGGTGATAGACCTGGTGTAATGTAAAGGTCTCCAGAAAGACCTCAGCTACAAACAAGCCCCACAATGACAAGTCAAAATTTGCCAAACTGTTTAATGCTTAAAGCCATAGAATCTCAGCAGAAAGTCTGCACATCAGCCCAAGTTCACAGAAAAATGCCTCTTCTAGATTCTGTCAAATTAGCTCTTCTACATGTTCAGCAGGTCCTTGAGGGTATTTGTCACTCGCCTATCCTCCAATGGGCCAATATTTCCTCCTGATTCTCCTCTCCCTTCACCCCAATCACCCAGTCAACATTCTAGGCCTGTCCCGCTCTGTTTGTCTATTTACTCTGTGTTTATCTGGTTTTCTGAAATAATTCATCATTGGATCATGATCTATGCACATATGTGTAACTGAGAATTTTATCAAGGATCATTCCTTTACCTTCCACCTATTGG